AAAACAAACAAACAAACAAACAAACAAACAAAACAAAAAACGAACAACAACAAAAAAAAAGACAGAAAGAAACATGTGCTGAGATTTGGGTTGTTTATTAAAACAATTATTTATTTGATCCCGTCCTGATTTTGTTGAAGTTTTCTCACTTACAAAGAAATGAACAGTTTCTAATTGTTATCGTAGTTTCATTTGTATGTATATATGCATATATTACTTTCATTTCTGCACTTTAAAGGATGAATGATGCATACAGTAACGAGCTCGCTTTCTTAAAAGCACAGTGAGTGACAAATATTTCTGTTTACAGGATCACGTGTCGAATTTCTGGCTTTTTAATAGAACAGAAATAACTAGGAAAGCTTAGCTACTGTTTAAAAAAGTATACACGCATTAGTAAATTAAAGAAAAACTTGTCTCCCTCTTTTTAATTCGACATTTTACATTTACCGTAGTTCAATTCAGTCAACAGCTGTCCAGTGTTCATCCAAAAATAGACCATAATCTCTGATATGAATGTGTAACTTGTATTTACCTGACACCTGCTCACTGAGAGGCTCTTCTTTTCATCTGATGAGTAAGTGAGGACGGAAAGCCATTACAAAGTCGCTTAATTTGAGATCATCAGCTTCCGTCATTAAGCGGTGATGAGACGGGCGGCAGTTCTGTTTTCATGTTCTGTTCACCGTCACATCAGCTGCTCATGAGTCAAACCGGTAAACACCTGCTAATCAGATCACCCGTTTCATTAGTTGTGAGGACAACTGACCCACGTGACAACTGAAGAACAATTTTATTATCACACACACAAAGAGTAGATACATTTTTCTCGGTATTTACAACAATCATATTTCAGTTTGTCTTTTGTGTCTCTTTGCACCTGTAAATGATTTATGTCTAAAAAAAAAGAAAATAAAACACGTGACCTGCAACTTTCACCTCTTTGCTTCAAGCCGGTGAAGCCTTTAAGTGCGGTTGTGTGTACGCTGTTAACAGTATTTGCCAAGACATTCACCGAAGGATGTAAAAGGCGTTTAGCCACTCACTGTGCAGTAACACCACCAGCACACCTAAGCGTATTGTCATGCGCAATTACGCGCGGACTTTGAACTAGAGACACTCACAAACATCATAGATCATTTTGAACAGCTGTTGTGCCACAATGTTGATATTTGGACTAGTTTTTACACAAAATAGGTGATTCTATAGAGCCCAGCCCTACAAGCTAAACGATTCAGCCACATTACGCTTTAAAATAGTAGATGGAGTAGTAGACTTTAAAATCAAGAAACACTCATCAAAATTAAAAGTTTCTTTCTTTCTTTTTTTTTCATGAGCTGAACTGAGTCTTGACACGATGTTGCTCGGCCTGATTGCTCATTCTGGGTGTCTTGGCTCGTTTTCTGCGTGCGCATTAAGCGCGTCATTGTCTGCCAACACCTTTCGCGCTGCGTAAAATCATCGGCAGGACTCGACAAAACACCCACTATCCTCTGTGTATCAGACCTCTCAGTTTGGTCCTAAACTCTTTTCTCATTAGGCAGTAAATGATTGGGTTAAGGCAGCTGTTGGTGTGCGCCAGACACACGGTCAGTGGGAACACATACGTATGAACCGTGTAGTACGCGTTATCCCAGTTTGCAGCGTTCAGTTTGACCAGTACGCTCCACAAGGTCATGGCATGATTTGGCATCCAGCAAAGAAAGAAGCACAGCACGACGATGGTGATAGATTTTGTAACTTGGGATCTGCGTTTGGGGTTGCTGGTTTTCATACTCCGTTTGCGGATGAAGCGCAGCAGCATGATGTAGCTGATGGACACGATTGACATGGGCAAAACAAAGCCTATTACGATTTTCTGTATGTGGTAGAGTGCTAACCAGTACTGTCCACCTGGAAACCTCAGCAGACACAGTTTTTCTCCAGTTACGCTGGTGACTGTTGAGAAAATCGACGTGGGCGCAGTCGCCAGAGTCGCCAGTGTCCAAATAATTGCGCAGACCCATTTGGCGGAGCAAGATCTCCGCGCGGTTCTGTTCTTCAGGGCAGAAGCGACCGACCAGTAGCGGGTCACGCTCATGGCGGTGAGGAAAAACACGCTGGCGTACATGTTCATCACGGTGACGGACAGGATGATTTTGCACATTGCGTATCCAAAAGGCCAGCTGAAGTCCAGCGCGGTGTCCACGGCCCAGAAGGGCAGGGTGAGAACAAACTGCAGGTCCGTAACGGCCAAATTGAACACGAAAAAGTTCACTCTGGACTTCTTCCTCTCTTGTTTGACCCTGATGAAGAAGAGGACCAGCAGGTTGCCGATCAGACCCGCAGCGCAAACAACCGAATACACAAGACAAATGAAGAATCTCAGAAGCGGGGTCCGGTCTGCGGTCACGTCTATGTCCACGAGGTTTTGGAAGAGCTCCATCTCGGTCACTGACTTGTTCAAATAAAAGCTTTCATTTTCTTCACTCATAATGCCAGCCAGCAGCTCACAGACACTTCGGGATGAACTAGATGCAGGTGTGCACTTTTTTTCTTAAGCTAAATCCAAACACGGCTGCATCTCAAGAGTGCCACAAACTAATCTGTCTCTATCACCTCCCCTCGCTCGCTCCTTTCTCCAAGGTACATCATCATCCCGCATCTCCGCTCTCCTCAGCGCGACAGGACCACTCACCCCACCCCTCTCCACCCTCCGCCTCTCGACCGGAAGGTGGAGTTGAAGTGTTTGGCGAGCTCAAGGTTCGACCATCAGAGCGCGCTCCTTCATCAAACCCCGGAAGGCGCGTGCAGTTAATCATTTCATAATTATGTTAATTAATCAAATGTTCCTGTCAGGTTGCGCTTTTGTCATCGCCGGAACCGAGCGAGTCTGTCCAATCTCTGACCGTCATTTACAAGCAAGCGAAAAGTTTTTCAAGACGACTCTCCACCGCCACCCAGTGTTCAGATAAAATAATGCACCATGATCCAGCAGAGAAAACAAGAGCTTCCTCCGTGCGGAGGAGTATTAGGGCCACATTAAGAAAAACATATATATTATTGATCATTTTTGAATAAAGTCGAAATGTGCAAATTACAGTTGTTATTTCAAGACAATCTGTCACGGCTGCTCTACTTTACATACAGCTTATACTTTACAAAATGCTTTGTGTAGCCTACACGAGTTTGTGAAACAAGTTGATCAGCCGTCTTGCGATACAACATACATGCTCTTTATTACACGAGGGTGGGAACCATCAATAAACTCGCATCTGTCCATGACAGAGCATTTCATTTTTTCCATATTCGGCCAACTCTTCCAAGTTTGTGTTTTTTCCTTCTTTTCCGTGTCCTTAATGATCACCACAATGTGCTTATTAGCTAAAAGAGAAATCATTTCCTTCCTTGTTACACCGATTCTGAAGTGTGATTTCAGAATCGATTCACAAACTCACACGATACAGCAACCGTGGCAGCTTGTCTTGAAACAACTGTAATCTCCATATTTCAACTTTTTTTCTTGAAAT